TATATAAGGCTTCTTTCAATATACACACATTTTAGAGGAAAGCTAACTCATTCAAAGTAGACTTAAGTTAATACTATGTATTATTAGCCAAGCAAATATCTGTGTGTTGTAATACGTGAAGTCGATTTTAATTATAGTTACGATGATCCATCCTTCTTCAAAAGAGTACCTACAAGCAACGGATTTACTGGAGCTATATTTTTATTTAAAAGAGTATAATATGATTCCATGTACTCTTTTTTTTTGCAATTATTTTTGTATGCAACATATATTATAGAATTAGTTTTGATATATTTGTAACATATTTTAAAAATATGATTGGATTTGACCAAATAATTGTAGTCTTGTGACATTTACTCTATATACAATCATTGTATTATGTATATACAACTATTATATGTTTTTCTTTAATTAATGTAAGAATTTTTAGGCGACCAAAGCAAATATCGTGTCATTTTCAAGTTATCATTGTTATAATATGATCAATAGATTGTTTTCACCCGTTGCAATACACGGACGTTTTGCTAGTTATTTTTAAACAAAAAAAAGGTTTACTTTCCCCTTGTCTCTCTACACAAGAGCCGGCCGGAAACTTCCTAGTGCTTGATGTTATAAAACTAGCCCTGAAATCGACATCGGTAGCTAAACACGGAAGAAAACGCCATAGGAGATTCAAACATGATGACGACACCGAGACAAGATTATTGGTAATGGAGTTCAGCCGTAGCCTACATCTCTAGGGTACTGATTATGAGCGCTCCTCCCCGATCCAACATATGCAGCATATTAGAGTTACAACGACTCACGGTCGGTCGCCGCCGGTAGCCGCTCCCTCTCGCTATACTAAGTCGCCACGTGGTTACAACAGGCACGTCCCTCTATTTATGAGAGATCCTAGAATAGAGTCCAACTCATATTCTAGTCCTATACCTAGTATAACTCCAAGTCCTAAACTGTAACTGACTACGTACACATATTCGACACTTGTTGAGTTTAGTCCCACACTGATAATTGATGATGGGGGGTACGACTTAAAAGGTGGGGGCGGTCCTCTCCCATCAGACTAGTCTTTTGGGTTGTGTAGGCCTAGGACCTAAAGTTGTGGCTTGCGGTTGGGCCTGTGGTAGAGCTGGCCCAATGTGACCTGGGTGGCCTACGGCTATCGGGCCGGTTTTATAACAAGTGGTATCAAAGCCTAGGTTTGGAACCCGGAACAATTTCCATGGGTCACATGGCGAAGAGGCCAAGTAACAAGTCTTTGGGGTCACATTGGTTGTTGTGACGGGGGAGATTGTTGGGTTTAGTCCCACATCGGTAATTGATGATGGGGGAGCACGACTTGAAAGGTGGGGGAGGTCCTCACTCATCAGACTAGTGTTTTGGATTGTGTAGGCCCAGGACCTAAAGTTGTGGCTCCGGTTGGGCCTGTGGTAGAGTAGGCCCAATGTGACCTGGGTGGACTATAGTTATCGGGCCGGTTTTGTAACACTAGCGTGGAGGAGACCGGTTCTGGGCGAAGAGGCATTGGTTTTTTGGACTAGAAGTGGGAGAGACTCCATTCCTGATGTCGGCAGTGAGGCTAACGGCGGCTGCCAGAGGGAGAAGACGGAGGCGGCCATGGCGACGGCGACTCCAGCGATATCTGGGGAGGGCAGCGGGCTTGGTGAGCTTCAGGGAAGCGAGAGTGCAGCGGTGGCAGTGGCTCTGGCTGAGGTGGCCGGGAGCGGTGACGGCCAAACAAGGTGGCGGTGGGGAGGTCTCACCGGCAAGGTTCCGGCGGCAGATTGGATGGGAAAGGAGAGGGGAAAGTAAGAGTCTGTTTGGTTGCTACCCTCAGCACCAAGCCTGAGAAATTTATATGCTTGGGAGGCATGCGAGGTGCTCGTGGTGCTGGCCTGTCCAGGCTGCCCAGCACTGTCCTTGGTTTGCCACTGCTGCCTGAGAGGAAAAGGTGCTGTTGGGCTTAAGATTATTATTACTCCTATCAAGTGTTAATGGGAATATATAATCTTGGCAAGCTAATACGGTTGTGCTTGACAAATTGAGATGATTAGTGTTAATTAGATGCTAATTGGAGATAGAACAAATCTTAGCAAGACAACCAGAACCCGTCTTTTGGCTTTCTGTAGACAAATCTCTACTATTAAATTTTTTGATGTTTTAACCGGTATTTTGGTACGCCATCCGTATTTGAGTCGGTTTTTAAGTTCGTTCACTTTTGAAAATATAGGTCCATGTTTGAGTTGGATATTAAGGTTTTTTCTTTAGAAATAAAAAAGAGTCGTATAAGAAATCTCTTTAAAATAACTCGCATGCTAGCGTGGTGGAACTCACATCGGCGCTAATCCTTATCGCCACTATGCCTTCAGCTCAGGCGTCCAAAATCGGTCGCCTAAGTCAGGCTAATGATGCACAGGGTTTCTCATGCCAGGTGAGATGGGAGCAGGATCAGGGTGGCGACCAAACAAGGTCTAAATTCACTCAGGCTAGTCTCAGGCCAGGTAAATTTTAGTCATGGTAGCAACCAAACAGGCCCTAAGTACGTGACATGGAGAACTCATTTTCACCTTCAATTTCGGACTAGAGTCGATGACTGCGGCTGATTTTGGAGGTCGACGCCAGCAGACCAAGCTAGGGTTCCAACCCAGTTAGGTCTGGCGACAACGATAGAATTGACGGAGATTGGGGTGGATTGGATAGGGTGGAAAAGGTCGAGGTTGCGGTTCTCTTGCCTTCGGTGTTGAGTATAATAGTGGAGACGATAGAGTTGATGGAGGTTGGGGCGGATTGGAGAGGGTGGAAAAGGTTGAGGTTGCGGTTCTCTTGCCTTCGGTGTTGAGTATTGTAGTGGAATGAAGAGGGAGATACGGTGGAGGGAAGCAGGAGGTGTCGTGGCCGCATTTGTCCGTCGGCCGTCTCATGCGAACGCGCGCGAGCACGGGGCGGGGCAGCATGGGAAGCGTGGGATCAGCGCGAGGTGGCACGGGCATTGGGCTGGCTTCGGCCTGGCTCGGCCTGGCCGAGAAGAGGAGCGGGAAAAGAAGAAAAAGGAAGAAAGAAGAAAGACATTAAGGGGAAAAATATAGGAATAGATAATGAAAAGGATGGAGAAAAATAAAATGGATGGAATTCGAATTGGTGTAAAATTTAAGTGGTGTGATATTCGGGATAGCATTAAATTTGGATCAAAGGAATTATTTGAAGGGTGAGATACACTTTGTGATAAAATTGGACGAGAAAAGAAAATACGAAATAAACATGGATGGTAATATTTTAAATAAACGAAAATTAAAGTAAATTAAATCGATTTAAAATGTTGTCAAAATTTAGAGCTGTTACAACCGGCTCTTCCTAAATTTCAAAGTCACCTATTTGTTTAATAAAATCATAAAATTACTACATGAATTAAATATGGGCTTAATCCATTAATAAGTTAAAGACTCATTTTTTTAGTTGTAAGAGCATCACCAACAGAATATGTATATCATTCCCTATCCGAAAATATGAGGACTTATGGTTAAAAATTTACTCCAACAGATTCTCTAATCTCATTCTCGAAATTCTTTATTCCTTACTCTGGGATTGTCGTTCTCTTTTTCTAGGGACACTTTGGCTCCCAATCACGCCACTTCACGCGCGGGAAGAGATCGCACACGCGATCTGGTGGGAGGATAGAGCCCAAAGTAGATTTCCCGGTGGAGATTTTATCGTTGCACACCTTTTTAATTTTTAGGAGAATAAGTTCACCTGCCATCCCTCAACTTTACACCGAGTTTGTTTGACATCCCTTATCCTCAATCCTAGAAATCTTCACCCCTAAACTGTACAAAACCGTCCAATTTAGATCCTATAGCAGTACAGACACCTAGTTTTGCTAATGTGGCATCGTAATCAGTAAAAACAAAAAAAGAGCTCCATGTAAGAGTGAGAAGAAAAAATGTGGGACCCACGTTCTTTCTTCTTCTTCTTCTCTTTTCTCCTTTCTTTTTTGGGTTTTTGTGCTCTTCATTTCTCTTTTCTTCAACCGAACCAGCAGCGGGCGGTGGGTGGGCGGAGCAGAAGGGGCAGATCGGCGGCGAGCGGAGGAGGAGTGGATTGGCGGCGGGAAAGCTCCGCCGGCCATCACCGTCGCGCGAGCCAACAGGAGATGGGGGAGGGGAGAGGCCGCCTCCACCTCCACCTCCGCCTCAACCGCCGCCACGCTCGCCCGCCGGCTGCCGATGCTACTGCTGTGTCGGGGAGGAGAGGGGCAGCGGGCGGCGTGAGCTCGATACCCACGGCACTGGGCGACCGGGAGGAGGAAGGCGCTCTGCGACATCTCAGCCGTTAGCCGTGTAGCAGGGCGACGTGTGCCGCGGACGTTGGCGAAGGCGCGGGCGGAGTCGTGCACGCGCAACTTGTCAACGTGGCTAGGGATGAGTCGCCGGTGTGTCAGGCGCTCGAGGCGGCGGGTGGTGCGGGTTGGGATGGGATGGATGGGTGCCCGACTGACTGTGAATGCCGCTCCTTCACTGGCAACGTGACAACTAGCTACTTGCCCTTCTCGGTAGTCTTGCCAGCTTCCGCCTCCACAGCCAGAGAGAGAGGAGAGAAGGGCTCGACAAAGCTAGGGCTCCTAGGTGGAATGAGCGTTGTCCTCAGCAGAAGATAAGGTGCATATCTCGCCGTCGCCGCCTCTCACCCATTTGCCACTGCCGGTTGAAGAAGATAAGATAAGACATGATGACTAGGATGTAGGCTCCACATTCTTCTTTTTTTTTTTCTGACTAGGATGCCACGTCAACTAAACCGAGATTTCTAGTACTGAAGATAAGGGATATCAAACAAACTCGATGTAAAATTGAGAGACCACAGGTAAACTTATTCCTTTTTTAGGAAAGCAATTTTACCTAACCTCTTAGGGACCATGTTATATGTTACTACATCCGTTTCAGGTTAAAAGACTTTCTAGCAATACTCACATTCAAATACTCCCTCCGTAAAAAAAAAGAAAAGACGATTTCTAGGGGAGGGCTTTGTCCCACAAAATACCGATTCCTGTACACCAAACGAGAAACTCCCTCTCTCTATCGTTCGTGTGTGGGTCATAGATGGACGGCGACTCCTCTTCACACCACACGAGCCTTATCGCCTCCTAGATCTCTCTCGCGTTTCTCCCCGCCGCCCCCTCCTCGATCGATTCCATCGACGCGGCGGCGTATGCGCGACCTACGAAGCTTCCGACTCCCTCCCTACCTTCGTCCCGCTCCTCCCCACACATCTCTCCCCGCTCCACACCGCTCCCCATCGCTCCACGCCACTCCCCATCGCTCCCGCATCTACGGTGACGGCGGGAGATAGATGCGGTGGATGGATGCAGCGACAACAACGATGGATGGATGTTGCGGCGACGGCGGGAGATGGATGCATCGTCATCGGCTGAGGTGACGGGGAGATGCGGCGGCGGCGGCGACGACGGCGGTGGAGGAGGAGACGAGGAGATACGGTGTCGTCGGCGGCGGCGGAGGCGACGGGGAGATGCGGCGTCAGTGTCGGCGGAGGAGACGAGGAGATGCGGTGTCGTTGTCGGCAGCGGAGGCGACGTGGAGATGCGGCGTTGGCGGCGACAGAGGCGACGAGGAGATGCGGCGCGTCGTCGTCGGCGGTGGATGCCTCGGCGTCGCGGGGCGCCCGCACCACGTCCTTCCGTGCGTGGTTTCGTGCCGCGTGACACGGTCAAGGCACAAGCCACAACGCGATGCAGACGCTTCCCCAACTGTCCTCTTTTCTTCTTTTTTACAAGCTCTGGAACTCGCTGTTGTGTCTCTGCATTTCGGTCTCTGCTGCAGTGCTGCTTCGTGGCGGTTGGTTTCTTGCTTCTTGTTGATCTTGGAAGAAAGTGTGATTGTTTGAGCGGCAGATGTGATGCGCAAGGCGTTAGCGATCGATGGATGCGGTGCTGTTGATGGATCTGATGCAGTTTTCTTTTCTTGCAGTTTTCTTTTCTTGGTTGTTCTTGGTTCTTGCTAGTTCATGCAGGTGAATTCAAAACATTTTATTTGGTTGCGGAGATATTATCTTTTCTTTTAGCGGAGAATGGATTTTATCCATTTTATTTTATTTTATCCATTTTATTTGGTTGCGGAGATATTATCTTTTCTTTTGGCGGAGAATGGATTTTTAGCAAGCATCTTCCTTTTTTTTTCTTTTCAGATTGGAGAGGTCTTTTCTTTCTGTTGTATAAAAATCCAACCTTTTTTTTTTTGTCCTTTTTTATGCGCTGATGCCTCTGTACGTACTGCAGTACTACTAATTAAATAAAGATGTAGTTAATGAGGGTATTTTTGGTATTTTCACTTTAGCCTTAAACTTGCACCAGGAATCCATGAATCGACTCTTTCCAGTACGGAGGAAGAAATCTTATAATCTTATAAAGTATACGTTAGATGGAGACCATGTTATATGTTAGGTGGAGACCATGTTATATGTTGTTGTCTTATCTGTCATATACTCCAATGTCAAATATTTCTTTGATCATTATTTTTGATAAATTTGTATGGTCTAACTCATAATTTTTGTATTATGAATTTATTTCTAATGGTGAATCTAAAAACACACCTTATTACGTTTAACTATATGAATTCTACAAGACTAATAGTGAAAACACAAAATGGTTGACTTCTGACAAAACTAAAATAACAAATAAAAACAGGAGTATGACGATTTTATTACGAAAGCATCCAGATAAATTACACATTTACAAGAACCAAAAGAAAAAGGAAATTTTGTGAAAATTTACAATCAATGAGAAGGCATACGCAAGAAGATACCACCACCTACACTTCTGATATACATTCAAACAAAGGGGGGAAATAGCCAAAAATAATAATAACTGCCGCCATAAAAGATACATAAAGAAAAATGCGGAGACGTTAGCAACAGAATATAGCTAAAGAAACCATCCTCATATTCCAATTCGTTTTAATGGCCCAAAATCTGAGAGATGCGTCGTTCAGCATCCATTGGCATCTCTCTTCCAGGAACGTTGACCTTTAACACGCTCAAGTATCTATGAAACAAAAGTGAATACAAATCAAACATAGGTCCACAAAAACAGTATTGTAATGGTATGAAAAAGTTAATGAGTGGCTTACTCTTTTGCAGAAAATAAATATTCATGTTCTGCAATAAATCCAAGCAAAGACTGCAGATGGAGAAATGGGTAAGAAAGATGGAAGGTACGAATAGGGGTAGCATGTAAGCAGTTAGTGGTAAACCTCGAAAGGCAAATTCAAGAGTTCGTAGAATGTCCGAACACGATCTATTCTCTGTTGGACGGCTTCACTGTCAATTGAGGGTATGGCTGCCAGAGCCTGCATTAAGAGTAGTGGTATTTTATTTGCAAATGCGAGCAATGAATTAGGCCTCCTATTATCCATTAAAAACCGTTTCAAACTGCAGTAAAGTATAAAGGACTATACCAAAATACAGATGAGGCATATTTGTTTTATATCATACTGCAGAAAAAAATTCTACCTGTTCTAGTGCTATAGAATTTCTGCATATTTGTTGGACCCCTAACAAATTGATCGACTTCATCTGAGCGAGTGCCTGAAAAATATTTCACAATTCAAGTTAGCAGTGAGCAAGAATATCATAGTACCAAGAAACCAAACCGTACCAGCCTTAATTAGCTAATCGAGGCAGTCAGATTAGCAAAGAAATCAGCTTCGGCTCAGGTACGAACATAAAGTTGGTCTATCATTGTTCAGGTCGGTCTTGATGCTTCAGAGATCGAACCAACCAAATAACCCAATCTACTAAGAAACACACAATCATACTTTCTAAACTTCTCTCTAAAATTGATGTTGTTAGACATTATATAATTCAAATGCAAAGTCTGTAAGTTCTAAAGATCGTTAGATCAGAGTTCTTCACATAATCAGGCCATCAGGGTGCGCAGATGCTGCTGCGCGACAGGATGGCAAAACTCTTCTGGCGGCTTCCCAAGCAGTTGGCTGACCCCACAAGTGACATAGGTTACCGCAAGGTTCTTATTCATTTATTGTATCATGTAATGGACATTGTCTCCTATAAATTTGTTATTTATCGTCACCATATGCTACAACATTTGGAGCTTCAGAACAGGGACAGATAATTATTGGAAGACATTCACGTGAACTAAGTACTGTATACGTGATCATGTAGTGCCCTCTCAAGCAGTGATGACTTGTTAAATACTTGAACCCATACTGCACTATAGTTTGTCATTCTTAGTAGAGTTGAATAAACCGACAATGTTATTCAGTCAATTAGGTTCGGTTTGTATTTTTAGCTGGCTAATTTGGGTTTCAATATCATTAAACTGAAATATATAGTTTGGTCTGAAGTTCTCTAGCAACCAACCATACCAACCGAATGATTGCCATTCAAGTACCACAAATATGACATCTGGAACTATAGCAAGAAGCATAACAAACCTTTATCGATGCATTAGCAGCAACGCTAGAAATCCCACCAAATACATAATTCCTTTTAGATTCTGCAATATAAGGAGCCATTTCTTCATCCCTACGTGCGATCTGTTCAGATTGGAAAAATCAGTAGTCAGCGTATGTTGTATGGCTCACATAAGTTGAATAGATAGCATTGCACACCGTGTACACATGAGAGTACCATATGGTACATAAAACTGGATGCCTATGCACAAGAACCAATACTCCTATTGTTACAGAAAATTATTTTACCAATCCTAATATACTTAAATCAGATTTGAGTTTAAATATTGCAAAACAGTTGCTCATTTTTCCCTTGTATAGAATTATGCCACTATCCAACAAGTTTATATACCATGCACTCAGCCTTGTATGTACACATTGTTGATTCTTCATTTCTTAGTTTCCTGAGACATCCTCCCAGTTTGCGTGGGATATATCAGATTAGGAAATATGCTCAACAAGGTATCAAAATTAAACAAAACTAAAAGAGAACAATACCTGAGTTGTTAGTGAGATGATGAAGTCATCAGGATCTTCAGCATCTTGATCTTCTACATATTCTCTTTTCGTCATTTCCTATTTAAAAATCATGCTAGTATCAAAATCTTGACATAACATAAATCCATCAATAAACATGTGGCGCTACAAGAGTGCTATTACCTGCATGTGATATATAGTTTCTAATTGCATTTCCAATCTCAAGACTCTGACACAATCAATTGCTAGCCTTCTATACTCATTAGCAAGTGATGCAAGGCTTTTCGGAATTGCACTAGTTGAGCGAGTATGGCGACCCTGGTGGATGTGATTTTTGTTCTCCAACATGGTAGATGAATTAATGAATGACTCTCCAAGCCTGAAATTCCCAACAAGACAAAAGTACCAAGGATCGAACTAATGAATGTGCATGTAAATAAATCATCAGGGATGAGAAGGCCCAAAACAGATGTATAAAATGTAATACGTTCCTAGATGCTCTTAGTTTAGGATAAATCCGAATCAGATGGGTGCTGAATTCTGAAGCATTATAGGCTGTGTTCGTTTGGGATGGTTGGGAACCAAACTCCTCCGGATGGAAAACGGAGCAATCCATTAGCACGTGATTAATTAAGTATTAGCTAATTTTTTTTTTCAAAAATGGAACAATATGATTTTTTTAAACAACTTTTGTATAGAAATTTTTTTTAAAAAAGCACCAAAATAGCAGTTTGAAAAGCGTGCACGCGGAAAACGCGAAGGGGGAGTTGGGAACAAGGGGAAACGAACTGAGCCAATGTTGCTCTTTGCAGATTTGCATAACATTCACAACTAAAGAGATTTGCATAACATTCACAACTACTGGAAACGGAACAATAGTTCGACAAAATGGACATTCAATGTATTGAGCATAAGATGATTTACCTTTCAACTGAATCCGCTAAATATTCCAATGAATCACTAAGAGATGCTAACAGTATCAATTTCTGGTCATCATGGATCAAGTTTTCCTGCATATCCAGAGAAAAGGTTTCATTCAACAAATAGGAGAAAAAAATTGTAAAACCAGAATTGTTCTGACGCCAATTGAACAAAACTAGCACGAGAAACAGGTTTTCCATCCTTTTCTGGCAGATGGACATGTATCTCAATTCGGACATAACATATCAGCCAAAAGCTTGCAACGTATACACATGATAAGGTCACACCAGAACTGTGATGTAGAAACAGCTGATCACATGGCATACATGTAAACTCTGAAATCATTGGAGTTATGTCCCTCGACTCTTAAAGCTGTTTGTTTTTCATCCTTCTGACAGTTTAGGTGGTTTTTATGACGATGTGATGACGTGCTATTAGATGACAAGGATGCCGCATACTCCCTCCGTTTCATATTATAAGACTTTCTAGCATTGCCCACAATCATATAGATGTTAATGAACCTATACACATATATATGTCTAGATTCATTAGCATCTATATCAATGTGGGCAATGCTAGAAAGTCTTATAATATGAAATGGAGGAAGTAGCATACATGTCCTGGCAGCATATAAAAATAATTTTAAAAAAACTGTAGCCCCACATGTTATCTTCTTCCCCTTCTCCCTCTTCTTCTCCCTTCCCTGCATCCTTCTCAGCTCAGCACAATAGTGGATGTCAAGAGTTCGCTGAGCACTTGCAGCCTCTATGTTGCATCAGCTCAAGCAGACACAGGGAGTGGCCAACCCAGGCAAATAGCACCGTGACGAAAGTGTGCGAAGAAGGTGCCAACACCCATGTCGACTGTCAAGGGACGCAGGAGGAGTTCATGACGATCGAGTGGCATTCTACATCACTTTTTATATTTGTGGGATATATAGATGTGCAATTTTTTATTTTTTTTATATATAGTTATATAATAGGCAAATATAATAACAACCAGAAGTCAGATATCAAAGATGATATCAAATGTATGACATGTGAGCCCTATATTTCTGATATGTTTTTTAGCTAACGGGCCACATCAGCAACTCTATGTGAATGCCATGTTAGGTAAGGAGGGGCACATCATTACCATGTCAACGCAAAACCACCTAAATTGATCTGAGAGATGAAAACAAATGGTCTTGAGAGTTAAGAGACTCAAATCAGACCATTCTATAGTTAAGGGATAAAATCAGTCCAAAGCCAAAGTTGAGGTACCAAATACGAATTTTTTCCAATAAAATGTAATTATAGCTACAGACAATTATAGGTAACCGTAAAAAAAAATTCAGCATGGTTGAATGTGGTAGAAGATACCTGTTTTATTGGGCACATATCCAATAGGAGATCACTTAGTTCAATCTCTACTTCTACAGCTTCTGCATCTGGAATACTGTGGTCAAGTTGACCAAAAGAATTTTGTAAAGATAGATTTGCTGGATCCAAGCGCATTAAACTTTCAACATCATTCCTTGAGAGGAGAATATAACTTTGTTTTTCAAGGACAGCCTGCAATTTTTACACAACATAAAAGGATCATGAAGCTACATACATCAAGGAAGAAAATAGAGTATGAACTACCCACTTTTAAGATTTG